ATGTTTCATTTATTGCATCAATTCGTGCTTGTTGTTTTTTTTGTCTGAATATACTTTGATGATTTCTATGAACTGGTTGTGGAAACCCATCATTAGGAGCAGAAGCATTAGGAAACGACGGAGCTATTACTGGATCTTTCGAGACCTTTTCAGTAACAGCACCAACAATTCCAGTTGTATGGGAGCGTAGATCCAAAACCTTTTTGCTTACTGGTTTATGTTCCACGGGATTTTCAACTAGATTATTTAATTCCTCATCAAGTTCTATGTTGAAACGTCGAGCACGAAGTCTCGAGAGTCTTTCAGACATTGTAGCAGAGAGTATTTGGTGGGTTGGCGCAGCGTATTTTCTTTTAACTAAACCAATTAAATTTCAAATACTACGTACGTAGGAAGATTTTCAATTTACACATGTTTATTGACCAATTAAAATTAATCAAATAAATCAATCTACGCGTTTCTGATGTAGAGTAAGCGAAGCGAACATTTTGTTTTGAATTTTCTTGATCGTGTTACGTTGCACCTGATCATGAAATCTGTCAGTAAATCTGCGCCACAAACCTTTCAGACAAAATTTTTTGACCAATCCGGCCATATGGACAAGTGACAACATTGGTTATCGATAATTGGGATTACACTTTTTTAATAATAACAAGTTTCTAAGTTGCTTTAGTTTTACACTTGAATGGCCAGTTTTAGTATCAGAACTTCGAATCATTAAAAATTTACTGTGATCGAACCTCTAATACTTTTGCTACTACGCTATTTGTCTATTGTGACCACACATAACGCTAAGTTTATCATAAATTTTTTAAATAATGAACGAATCGGACTATTTTGCAAACCAATTAGATTTTTATTATTTAAGTTATTCTTTAGTAGAAAGTGATTTGTTTCATATATTTCATGCTCTTGAAAGATATATCAATAACGAACTGGTACAAAATTTGAATTGATAATCTTAATTATCTATATAATATGATTAATAATCAGTAATTTAAATATTTTTCGTAATCTTTATAATAATTGAGTAATAAACGGCAATTTCGATTTATTGTGATTTTCTAACCATATTTTGAAACTCAAGGTTTTATTTTTTTACACTTTTACATTCTTTATTAAACGATCTCGAATATTTAATAGATTTATTATATTATGTATATCAATTGTAAACAACTCTTTACTAAAAAATTAATCTAATTAAAAAAATTCGTCAGTCTTAATCGGTCTTGTATATTGCTCGCGTATTTCGTAATTGTATAATATCCTATATTTATACTGGTATAAAAAAAATAAA